TCCTCTGAAATATTAATTGTAAAAACACACTGCCAATGAGGATAAGCTTCTTGTTTTAAAGCCAGAAACATATCCTCGGAGGCAGTGTGTTGTTACAATATATTCTGTTTCAAGTGGTTCAAGATCAAAATAGCAACGATTAAAATACTACTTAAAGTGATAAGTTTATTCTTTTAAAATTATAATCGGTTAGAATTTTCACTATTTAACAGTCTTTTGAAGGGCAATTGGCCTGAAAGCTAGACAAACACACACACTCATAGACAAAACTTAAGGAATTAAAAAGTCTTTGATGTCAACGGTTATATGTTTTTTTTAAGGAGATGGAGGCAATTTTGTTCACACTCGGTTATCTCGTGTGTCTTCAATAAAAGTCACTGTAATATCTTTCAGAGTTATTGTCTGAATCCAGATATACATGCTAAAAGGTACAACTTCCTTAAGTTTTGTTCATGAGTGTAATTTAATGAAGAAATTTTGCTTTAATATTATCTTATTGTTAATATTTTGATTATTTCGATTGAGATCGAAAAATAGAAATTTAGGATTACCACTAATAGATAATTTACCAGATCATTTAAAGACCGACAAAATAAAAAGTTTAATGAACGATCTATTTCAGGTTGATATTGGAGGTTTGGATAAAGATGATCATATTTTGATTAGAAATTATACGCCTAAATATAAAAATAAAAGTAGTGTTTATATCGAATCTAAGGAAATAGAGGAAACAATTTTAAAAACAAATATTAAAAAAGCACCGGGCCCTGATTACATTAGTAACAATATGATTAGACAGGCTAAAATAAAAATAATCCCAATTCTGCATAAATTATTCAATAAATGTATAGAAATGGGATATTATCCGGATGAATGGAAAAAATCATTCTTAAAAATAATTCCAAAACCAGGCAAAACGAATTATGAAATAAATAAAAGTTATAGACCTATATCATTGACATCTAATCTATCTAAAACATTTGAGAATATAATAAAAAATAAATTAAGTAACTATTATTTAGAGAATAATTTAATGAGCTCAAGGCAGCATGGTTTTATGAAATCTAGATCAACAATTACTGGAATGGATAAAATTATAGAAACTATATTGAAACATAAACAAAAAGAATTGACTTCCTTGATAGCTATAGATATTGCGGGTGCATTCGACAATGCATGGTGGCCTGCTATTATAAAAAGAATGGATAATGATGATGTTCCTTCAGATTTAATACGGATCATAAAATCTTATTTGAATAATGAAAGGGAGGTGAAATTTACATACGAATCAGAAACTTTTTATAAGAAACTAACTAAAGGATGTCCACAGGGTGGACCTTTATCTCCACTTCTATGGAATATTTTGCTAAATGATTTGTTGATAAATTTTGATTCAATGAATGCAGATATTATATGTTATGCAGACGACGTTACAATAATTTGCTGGAATAAGACTATTGAAGGACTAAAAACCGCAAGTGAATACACCTTAAATTATGTGATCCAATGGTGTAATAGAAATAAATTAACGATCAGTACAGAGAAGACTAATATGCTATACCTACATAACAGACAAAAAATACCTATTAAGGTTAATAACAATATAATAATGCCGGTCAAGCAAGTAAAAATTCTGGGAATGAAATTTTCTAATCACAAATGGAAAAACAAAGTTAACTTTACACCGCATGTTAATGATATTCTGTGTAAGGCAGGACGTATGAAAAATTTATTATGTTCACTAAGTGGCAATATGTGGGGTTTAGACACTGAAAAGAGGTTAACTTTATTCAAAACAATCATTAGGCCTGTACTTACATACGGTTCTGAAATTTGGTTCAAATATTTAAACAATCGTTGTAAACAAAAACTGAACTCCATGCAGTACCAGATCATTTTATGGGCAGTTAGAGCATACAAAACCACTTCATCAAACTGTGTGCATAGCTTGGCAAAAATTCCACTCCTAACAGATTATATAGAATCCAGAATAATCAAATTTGATCTAGCTCAAATGTCCATTGAAGATCTAATTACTTACGAACCCCATGCTCCAAGTATAGTCAAATCATTCTTACACGCAAAAATGAATGAAATTTTTGAGAACACTAATGAAATTTTCAGAAGCTTTTTCGTATTAGGAATTCCAAGATTTTTCCGTCCAAATTTTTATAATATCCAATTCATTACAGATCATGGCAATTTTGGGAAATTTTTGGCAACTATCGGCGCCGTGAAGGAACCAGGATGCTTCTGCGGAGGTGAAATTCAAGACGCGAGACATCTACTTCTGGAGTGCCCAATTTTCCGGGATTTTAGGGAAAATAGATTTGGTCGTATTGGACAGCTTGATGAATTTGTAGACAAAAAAGAAAAGTATAAAAATTTTGATCAATTTTGTAAATACATATACAACTTTCTCTTGAATAGGAAAAAAGAGAAGGAATCTTAGAAAAAAAAAAAAAGAACTGCGTTGCTTGCTCTGTGTGTTTTGCTTTGTTGTTTGTTTTTCTCTTTGGACAATTTTCTTTAGTTAATTTATGTAAAATAATGAATTGAACAGAATTGTATATAGCCGTATTGCTGTAATGCAGTGAAATGTATTGGCGCAAATATCCCTGAGTTTGGGATATCGCGTTTCATGATGTTAATAAAGTTAATTAATTATTGTTAATATTTTGATTCTCACATACACTTTGGTATACTCGAATTGCGATTTATTTAGAAAATTTATTTACCATTGTTGAGAGAGAGGATGGAATGTTATTCACATATTTATTTTTATTTTTTGAAACAAATTTGGGCAATTAATTTAGTGAAGATGAAGAGGATTTTTTGAGGTTGAACCCATGAGTAAAAAAACATTTTTCAAGGATTTAAACACTTTTGTGTACCAAAATGAACTATCTGGGAAGGTTCAACTCCGATGAACCAAGACTTTCCAAATTTTCTTTTTACCTTCAGTTTGCTAATTTGTAGAAATTCAGCCTATAACATTAATTAAATATGTTGATGTAGCGAGAGGTATATTTCGTAAGGTTTTAGAAAATTAGATTATAGAAAAAATACATTTTTTTGCAGTCGAAACTTCAATAGGATAGATAGATATTCTATTGATATTTGAAATCATAAAAGTGATTACTCACCAAATGGGCGGCATATACATTCATGAAAAAAATTTAAGGAAGTTGTACCTTTTATCATGTATATCGGGATTCAGATAATAACTCTGAAAGATATTACAGTGACCTTTATTGAAGACATACGAGATAACCAAGTCTGAACAAAACTTAAGGAAGTTGTACCTTTTAGTATGTAAATCGGGATTCAGATAATAACTCTGAAAGATATTACAGTGACACCTTTATTGAAGACATACGAGATAACCAAGTGTGAACAAAACTTAAGGAAGTTGTACCTTTCAGCATGTATATCGGTATTTAGACAATAACTCTGAAAGATATTACAGTGAACTTTATTGAAGACACACGAGATAGCCAAGTGTGAACAAAATTATTTACTCTGTCTCCTTAAAAAAAAAAAAAAAGACTGCCGACGATATGAAAGACTTCCCACTTAAGGTTTCTCCATGAGTGTAATATGCTCTTATCTTTTCAGTATGTTATTATGATAATTGATTCTCTTAGTCATGAAAAAAGTATTTTTTGTATATTTAATCGATACTCAAGTTGTCAGAAATTCAGCATTTTTACTCTTTGATCATTTATTTATTTAAACTGAAAGAGTTCCACAATATACGATCTGACTGATTTTTTTTGTCTTTTCAATTTCTTGGCTGAAAAAGCAATCTTTTAAATAGTTTAATTGTAATTTCAGTAATTCATCTATATGGGGGAAAGAGGTAAACATATTCACAAAAACAAAAATAATGTTTATGAATTGATCACAATACTTTAAAGAAAGATAATATGCTGTAATAATTTAATATTCATCAACAACAAAAAATTACACAAACAATCCAATAAATCATTTAAAAATTTGAATGGCAAAGTATCATAAGCATATTAAAATTGTCTTTAGTTTTGAAGGGCTTTACCAATAATATATTTTGTCTTTCTCCAAATGGAAAAAGGTAGTTCCACATTAAGGGAAAAAGAAAAAAAGAAAGCGCCAAGATGTGACAAGTGCAGAACCTCATAGAATATTCTTAAAACGATCTGGCACTAAGGTGTTCCACCACCTATTTTTAAAATCTTATTCACTGAATATTTTAATGGAGCCATTTGTATTCGACCAGCAACACTGGCTTTAGATGTCTTTCACGCCATTTTCTTTTCAAACATTCCTTTCCGACTTTGTCTCTTTCCATCCGTGTTGGAATCATTTCATGCGACATTTTCCATTAATGTCATTTTGATTAGGAAATTTAATATCTCTCTCTTCTTATTTATATAATGAATCTTCTCTAATTTAGGCCTAAAATATCTTTATCCAATTCTCAACATACACACTGTACATAGAGAGAGATTCAATATATTTATTTATATAAATGTTATAAAATTGATATATTTCGATATATTTTCATGAAAATAAGTTTAAATTCATTTATTAACACACTCTTGACGAAACTTAATAAAGTGGAAAGTCTTTGATGTCGCCGGTCGTCTGTCTTTTTTTTTTTTGAAGGAGACAGAGACAAATTTTTTCATACTTAGTTATATAATGTGTCTTCAATAAAAGTCACTGTGTATCAAATATCTTTCAGAGTTATTGTGTGAATTTCTTTTTTTGATTTATCATGAAAATGGGTTGGGGCTAAATATAATGGAACAAGATTAAATCAACGTTAATTTAAAATACAATATAATGAGGCTTATGATTATAGAACGACTTTGACAAGTTTTACCGCAAATGTTTCTTTTTACAGAGAACCAAATGCCAGTATTTATTTTAAGGAGAAATAACGACTATTCCTATCCTTAGGGATGAAGTATGAGAGGATGAATTGTGAAGGGTAATGATGAACGGAAAAATAAAAGTGTCCAGGGATGGAAATCGAACCCACAGTTTTCCGCTTACCGGACAGATGACAGATGCCATGTCCACTAAGCTACCCTAGACATAATTTTCCGTTCGTAAATATTATATAAAGTAATTTATAATATAATAAAATTCGGTTGTAGAACGACGTTTGACAAGTTTTAAAGTTTAGTTGAAAATAAATAAATCAGTATAACTTTCCTTTTTTTCTAACTTAAAGTGTTTTAACTAAAGTAAAATATTTGTTTTTTAATAAACGATGTTTTTTTTAAAGAAGAACAACTATGTTTTTTTTTTCTAACTGAGCAAAAAAAATTAAAAATATTCTATTCGACAATTATCTCTCTCCCTCTAATTACCCCATTTATATATATATTACTTAGAGTGATGGTAAATAGTGGAGGGAAAAATTATAGCTTATTAAATATATATAGAGAATACCAAATGGAGTTGAAAAATTAATTTAAAACAAGTTAAATGAAATAAAATGTGTACGAATGTCGAATAAAAAGGGAATAGTTTCCAATTACTTGGAAATAGGAGACGAAATTTTAAATTAAAATTAATTATATTGGATAGATTGGAATGTGGGAGTTAATTAAAAAGATCGTCTGGGTAAATATTAGCAGCGGCCATTTTGAAAAAAAAAGTTTATAATTTACTCTTCCAACTCACAAGTAGGTTCTTCCATATTTTTATGTCTGTGTTTACAAGTTGATTATTTATTTTGAATGATTTAGTTCAGTAAATATATATTAAATATTTTAAAGGACATTTAAATAATTAAAACTATAAATTTTACTGTATATATATTTCTTTTCATGTGTTAAGCGTCTTTACGCAGATTTGGCCATAAATACTCATTTCTTGATTTCTCAAGAAGCCACTGGGACCAAAAATATTTTTGGTCGCAGTGGATACAGCCTACTCCACGCTGACGAGCGCCAACAGCGCGAAACGCGTTTGTGGATGGCCTTTCTTGATTTATCAAGAAATTGGGTTGGCCAAATATCACGGAGCAAGGTCAGGAGATGCCTTCTTTATTTTTAATATATATATGTGTCTTAAAGTTTTTTATTTTGTATTTAATCATTATATAATTATATGAATTGTATGCAGATTAATACATTTTGACATAATAAATAAGGAATCTAGGGGGTATTGGGTTAAGTTTTCAACTAGCAATAATCGCGCCTCGGAAGTTCCTCACTGGCTACGATATCGCTTCTTCGCAATAAGGAATCTAGGTTTTGGTTTCTTTTCTTTTTATTTCTCGAGCTTTCGGGCTAACATGACATTCAACACAGAGATCCTGAAGTACTACTTCTAGCCTATTATAACGGCGTGTTATAATAGGCTAGAAGTAGTACTTCAGGATCTCTGTGTTGAAGAGCATGTTAACCATAAAGCTCGAGAAATAAAAAGAAATGAAACCAAAATCTAGATTCCTTATTGATTATGTTAAATTGTAAAGACAGTAAAGAATATTTATTATAGATTAATACGCATATATATATTGTTTCTTTTTCTGGGAGTAAATTGTTGCATTGAAACGGAAATATCTTTATTTACGGGGATGCTAACCAGAATGAATAATTTTTGAGCCCAGATGAACGCATAAAGCAGAATATATACATTGTACTGTTGGAGGGGCCTGGGGATAGGTGGTCAGGGGATCATCGCCGGGTGAGGCCAGGAGAGCCGGGATGTAGAGGAGGATCAGTGGGGCAGGGTGGTGATCCGAAAAAGAAGGCACCGGCGAAATTCGAACTCACGATTTCCTGTTTACTAGACAGGCGCTTTAACCAACTAAGCCATTAAAAGAAAGTTCACCTTTTTATTGTCAATATAGACGCAATTACCTATGCGATACATCTTATTTATATATAAGATAAAGGATAGGTTTTGCATCTATTTTGACTGGAAAGGCGTCATTTCTTTCTATTAAGGCTTTTTTATTCTTTGTATCATAGCAACCTGACGTTTGATATCTATTTATTGTGTAGTGAGAAATTTAAATGTGTGAAAGTAGTTCTATATCATTAGATCAACATATCTTTATTTCAACTACAAGACCAGGTTTACAATTGGATTTTTGTCTGAATCTTCCAAAACTCTCTCTGGTGTTGTGACTAATTCTTTATCATCACTAAGTAAAGGTTTTTACTAGGGTGATACATAGTTCTGATGTACAATTAAAGGGAGAGGTGCCTTCTTTGGTACATAAATAGCATTCTCCCGTAACTTTATGTTGTAATCTTGCCTGGAAATCATCCCTTTCTACTTCACCAGCTTAAACAGCTGTTGGTAAATTCGACCGATTTCACTATTTCTCTCGTAGGTTGTTATGAAATCGAAGCCTCTCTCCTGTACTGATGAGGGCCATATCCCGAAACCATGGTATACAGGTTGTTGGCTGTTTGTCTGAATTTTCCAAAACTGGTGTTGTGGCTCATTCTTTATCACCACCAATAAGGTTTTTATGCTAGGGTTATGCACAATGCCATCGTTCTGATGTATATTTTAAGGGAAAGGTACCTCTTTTGGTACACATCAATATCATCTTGAAACTTTATGTTGTGTATAGTTCTACCTATGTTCAAAGTGTCCTTAAACACTTTTTTTATTGAGAATAATTCAAAGGTGCCATATATATAATATATATTCTTTTTTTTTTACATATTTACCACTTTATATATTAGTAAATTAAATTTAATTGTCATCATCGTTAATATTTTACACAAATAAATTTACTGGCAATGTGTTTCTTTTAAATATCATCAAATATTATCTCTACAGACCTTACTGCAATGATATGAGTTATTGAATGAGAGGGCTTGGCCAAACCAGTCCAATACAATAGTAGAGCGGTCTAGAGATTAATTTGGCGAAACCGCTGAGAGGGTTCACTACTGATGAGCCAAGTCCTCTCATTCAATAACACATATCATTGCAGTAAGGTCTGTAGAGATAATATTTGATTATATTTAAAAGAAACGCATTGCCAGTAAATTTATTTGTGTAAAATATTAAATTTACCACTTTACAAATATATTTAATTTCAAAAAGAGGCGTAGAGCAAACATCCACAGTTTCCAGATAAATTACCAAATCTCTCTCTCTCGGATAAAATGATTATAGTACCTTCAAAGACAGTTTTATTGGAAGAAAGAAAAAGTAATTTGGGGACATAATGTCTTACAGATTGTCGGTGGTTGGGACGTGGGGTCACGTCGTGAGGAAAATGTCGCAGGTGTCTACAAACAATGGACATTTCGATCACACTACTAGGCTTTGATTTAATCCCTTATCTCTGTGTTCTTTGGTGCTCGGCTGAGTGGAGGCTGATGTGTGGACAGTATGCAAATACTGATGAAATCTTCACCTACTGGCCTCGACTCTATGGCACGACTCTGCTCGGGTCTCCAACAAACATCAAGACCTGAATACCATCGGTGAGTTCCTATTGTGTGATTTCCACTCATGGACAAAACCTAAGGAAGTGAACATTATTTGATGTCGCCGGTCATAGAATTTGTTTTGAAGGAGACAGTAAATTTTGCTCATACTTGGTTATCTTGTGTGTCTTCAATAAAGGTCACTGTAATATCTTTCAGAGTTATTATCTGAATACCGATATACATGCTGAAAGGTACAAATTCCTTAATCTTTATCCAGGAGTGTATATTGATTATCTCGTGTGTCTTCAATAAAGGTCACTGTAATATCTTTCAGAGTTATTGTCTGAATTCCAATATACATACTAAAAGGTACATCTTCCTTAAGTTTTATCCATGAGTGTAGTTGTAGCATCTATTTTGACGGTAAAGTTTAATATTATAGATCAATATCCTGTCAGCCACCTTTCTATATATCTACAAAAACATTATATTCAATAAAAACCTTAACAACACATTGATCGAAATTTTATTCTGACAAATTATTTCCTAAATAACTATATATATCTTTATAATATCTATATACTTATCTATATTTTATCTATATATGAAATATATTTGAATTAAATTTACCAATTCTTCGGATCAAATTTAATATATATTTTCTTTTATATAGTTACTATATAATGTGAATATGTACATAGTTCCACAAAAAGGGGCAGAGAACATACAATATAAAAATATAGTGTTTGAGATATCGAAGTTTTGTAGAAAGATTTGAAGCAGAAATTTAATTTCCTTTCCTTTGTTCTCTCTAAATTGATCAGACGATACCAGAAGTAATATAGCAATGTTGCCAATTGTTCTTTAGACATCTTTCATAGAGTAAATATATATATATATGAGTATATTTATTGTTGGAAAAATTCAAGAAAATATATATTTGATTATTTAAGTTTTATTTTAACATATCTATATATAAGATTATAAAAAAGGGCGTACCTGGATCTGTAAAAGAAAAAAAAACAAAACAATTTTTTTCTCAAAATATTTCGAGAAAAAAATTGTTTTTTTTTCTTTTACAGATCCAGGTACGCCCTTTTTTATAATCTTAATTAATGGATCGCCTTTTGACTCAAAATATCTATATATAATTTTAAAATATATTCATATATACACCTATCCCCCGATTTACACGGTACTTGTTTTACACGTTTTCGCTTTTACACGGTTTTCCAAATAGGTTTTTTTTTTGTTTTTATCGCACTATACTAAATGCTACTGTGATTGAACACATGCGCTGTGTACACATCTCACGAGGAATCCCGATCTTATGTGCTGACTACATATTTTAACCTGTCAATGCATTTTATATTTATTTCTGTGTACACCTATCCCCCGATTTACACGTTTTTCTCAGGAACGTATCTACCGTGTAAATCGGGGGATAGGTGTATATTAAAAAATCATTATATACCTTTTAAAAATATATTTTAGAAACATTTATTTAATTGATTTTTTGTCATCTAATAAGCATAAACTTGAACTTTTGTGGTCCATGAATATCATCCTCCCGCTACTTAAAGTTGTATTCTAGCATATGAAAATCAGCATCTGCCATTTCATTAGTTTAAACCCCTTTTCAGCCAATTTGACCGATTTCATAACTCCCCCCTCGTAGGA